CCACGGGTTTCGTGGACAAGAACACAACGTTGTTCCAGGAAGATCGAGCACCGTGTCACACTGCTAGAAACACCCAAAAGTGGCAGGAAGAAAATGGTATCCAAAAGTTGCCCTGGCCGAGCCAATCTCCTGACATCGAAAACCTCTGGGCCATACTCAACTGGCAAGTTGAGAAACAACCAAAAAAAGCAACTTCGAAGGGCGATCTACTCCAAATTTTGAAGCAAGAGTGGACGAAAATCCCACAATCTAAAATTGACGAGATGATTCTCACGATGCCCCAACGAACTCCACGAAGCGAAAGGAAGATCTACTAGATATTAATTAAATTATAAGTAATCAATTCATGTGAATATGACTGGAAATTTTAATTTTTTTCTGAAATGGTGGTGTCTATTTACTTGTGACCACGCTATGTATGTGTATCCAGTTACAAAAGACATAATCTCGACCGCGCATCTTGTGTACAGCAACAGACGACAATAGAAAGTTACAGGAAATTCCCTAATAGCACTGCCAACCGAAGAATATATTAGTAGCATATGAAAGTGTAGTTTTTAACGATACTGGTGATTTGAGAATAAATGTTTAAATCTTGGAGTGGAAAGTTGTAAGGAACTTTATTGTGATGTGTTTACCACTCAATTTATTGTTTTACAGCTTTCTTTGGATATTTTCCGTTAAAAAACAACAACAACATATTTCTTTTGTTTTATCATTGAAATCATTATTTTCACTGTATATACATCTAAAAAAGAAAAATTGAGAGTATGGAAGAAAAAGGTTGCTTTGTATGGGTAGTTGACAAAAATTGTACCTCAGTACTAATGTAAGTGTAAAATGTATTTTGATATGTAGATAGCAATTTACAACAGAGGTATTCATTATTGAGAAATAAAATTTTGTCATTGGATAAGTTCCAAGTAAAGTGAGAGCGAAGATTGAATTGGTGTGTTATTAAATAATCAAGTTCTTCAATGAAACGATTGTATAGGACAGAAAGAGGACCAAAGCCTTTGGCTCAATGAAACTCATGAAACGTTGATAAACAACATACTGTTACGTATCTGTTTGTTTGTTAATTTCCGGTATAAATTCTTCCCGAGGAACTTCAGCGATACAAGTCCTTTCTTAAATAAAACTAGTTTATTCTTTCTCAATACAACTTTGCAATACACTTAATTTCCACAGTCACTTTCACTTAAACATACGCTATAATTCACAACGATTCACGCACTTTACTTACGACTTGACTCGATTATCTGTCTCTATATCTGTCTATCTGCGATCATATCTCCGCTTTATTTGCCGGGCTTATATACTAAAATAGAGGGCGTCTGGCAAACACTCGGGCCTTCATGATCCTTCCAGAAACTCATCACGTGACTTCCGCTGTTGTAACAACACCAATTTTTTTCTCCCACCGTTACCAGCGTCACATGACTTCCGCTGTCGTAACACTGCCCCTTCCTTAATATTATTCGTCCCGAAGAATAGCCACTTACATTAAACCAATAGATAATTAACAACAACGTTATCAAATGTACAGAATTTACAAACACAAAATTAAAGTTCAACAAATTATCTTAATTTTACGGGACGTATCTTCTTCCGTACTGGTCTCCGTCTCGTTGGCTTCTGCTTCACATGGGGTTCATCTGCTCCATCAGGAAATGTCTGATTATCGGTAACAGTCACATCAGTGGTAGTAACTTCATTAAGGGCTTCACTGTTTCCCTTCTCAAAACCGGGTAGAGTTTCTTCTTCGACAGTGGCTTTTTCAGGTGACACGTCTTCAGTGGCCTCTTTTGTTCCATTGTTCACTTCATCCCAGCTGAAATGTCCTGGACTGTGATAACGCCAAACCCTGTTGGCATGCACCACCTTTGCCTTACCTCGCCGACCACATTTTATTCGGAAAGTCACGTCTGAGAGACGATCCACAATGTCATATGGGCCTTCCCATGGAGAAGACAACTTAGGAATCTTCCTCTTGGTCTTCCTGGGATTATACAACCACACATTGTCTCCTGGTACAAAGCTTACTTCAGTAGATCTCTTATCATAACATTGCTTCATGGAATCAGCAGAAGTTTTCAAGTTTGAATGCACTTGATGATGAATATCATCCATCCTTTCAGATAATACTTTCACGAACTCTGACACATTTTTAGGCAACTCTTCGTAAGGTGGCCATCCTGTTATCAGGTCCACTGGCAACCGAAATTCCCGACCAAACATCAGCTTTGCTGGAGTGTATCCAGTGGCTTCATGCTCTGCTGTTCTATGGGCCATCAACAGTGGAGGGAGTAAGACATCCCAGTCATCTTGGCGGCTATTACTAAACTTTGCCAATTCCTGTACCAGTGTCCAGTTGTACTTTTCTACCATCCCACCAGACTGTGGGTGAGGTGGCGTTGTCCTGGTCTTTCGTATGCCAAACAACTTGCAGCATTCATGGAACACAGCTGATTCAAAGTTACAGCCTTGATCTGAATGAAGTTCGTATGACAAACCAACCCTAAAGAAGAAATCACTAATAGCCAAAGCTACAGTTGTAGCTTCCTGATCTGGTATTGCATATGCTTCAGGCTAATTGGTGAAATAATCCA